GAACACTCCAATAAAGTATATGAGTATAAACTATCTCTACAATAGCAGTTCTAATTCAAGACTTCGACGACAGTCACGCGATAAAGATCAAGCATTGAAGCCATTCACAAGTCTTTTCACACGATCTACTCAACCAAGCATTGAAGGGATCGTTAGTAAAATCTATCTTATCCAAAATATCCCAGACTCTTCTATAAAAGAATGCGTCTGGAATACTTTGGAGGGGGTATCTGTAGGCATAAAAAATGCTAATAAATATCCAATCATAGGGAAAACCTCCCAAAATTGACAGATATGAACTGTCTCGCTAGCGAGACAGACTGTGCTATCTCGCCAGCGAGACATACTGTGCTGTCTCGCCAGCGAGACAGACTTTGCTGTCTCGCCAACGAGACAGAGTTTACTGTCTCGCAGCGAGACAGTCTTTGCTGTCTCGCCAGCGAGATAGACTTTACTGTCTCGCCAGCGAGACAGCTTTGAAATAGTCAAAACTACCTTGATAACTGCCCTACACGTGTCCATCAACTGCCAAGGGACGTGGAAAACATCGTGGGTGAAAATCACGTGAATAACTGCCAAAATAACGGAGTTTGAACTGTCTCGACAGCCGAGACAGCAAATGCTGTCTCGCGAGCTTGTTTTCTGCCAACTGTTCCTAGAGGTTATAAATACCCCCCGAAGGCGGATCAGAGAGCATCCACAGGAGCATTCCAGAGCAGAGAGAGCAGATTTGAGTTTTCATACAACGCCTTGAAATTAAGCTTTGACTTGATTTTAAGAAGAACGACTATCTTACTTCGATAAGATATCGTTTCAAGTTCTCACTTCGATAAACGAAGTCAGAATCAGTAAACCCCCTCTTCACGATCTGTGATTCGGTGGTCCATGAACCAAAGCGTTCCCGGCACAGGCAAAGTCCCACGAAAACAAAGATTGATAGACGATTTTTGTGTTTGTTTCTCAAGAGTTGTAATTTTTGCTTTGTTGTGTAAAAGAGGTCTTATAAAAAGACCATTTCTTTGAATTTATTGTAATCGCTTGAAGATATAATGAATTCCTCAACAAAACCAACTTTTGACGCAAACAAACGCTAGTATGGGGATATTAACACTTAGCTCCTAATTATTTTGAATACATGGTATATATATGGAGGGTTTCTTATTTGGATTTTTCGCCCGACGTACTAGTTCCGCTTAGTTAGGGGTTAAGTGGGAATATTTTCATTCTAGATTGTTAAGTGTAGATATTTTTATGTTTTATATCTGAAGATTAATGATACGAGATGTGTATGTGAGGGTTTCTTTAACTGGATTATCCTCTTAACATGCTTTTCTGGTATTATTAATCTCTAAGATACGATTACGGAATTTCGGCGACGAAATTCTTTTAAGGGGGGAAGAATGTAAAACCCCGTGAATTTGAAAATATGGTGATAAATAATAATAAATGTGTTATATGGTGATAAATAATATTTATCGATGTTTGAGTATGTTATAAATTGATTTGAGATCAATTCATTGTATATATGTGAATATAGGAGTGAGATTATGCACTATATACACGAGCCTAAAATCTAGGAAAATGATCAGTTAAGAGAATACGTGTCTTATATACTGATGTGGTTTGAATATGAGAAACTCAAAAGGGAAAATGATCAGTTAAGAGAATACGTGTCTTATATACTGATGTGGTTTGAATATGAGAAACTCAAAAGATAAAAGTTGTAGGTATTTTCGACATATTTCCAATAAATCTTAAAGCACCTCATTCCAAGGTCGGATGAGAAAGTTATAGCTAAAATACCGAATGTGGTTTTCCCAGTCAGACTAGGTTTCCTGGTTCGGGTCAAACGGATTATGTTTCAGGTTTGCCTCTATAAATACTTGTATTAACGAAAATTATTATCCTTGATGATATCTCTGAACCCTAGCAGCCACCCTATCCCCTCCAAAATACTAAATCAATTTCTTATGAAATTTGTGAGCTTTGTGAAGCAAAAATACCGACACGAGGGCGAGATCATCGACGTGTGGTAAGGGAGAACGGTTTGTTTGCACCTTTGGATCACTTGTTGTTCATTTCAGAGGCTTGTACATGAGATTAAGGCAATATCACCTCTGTCAAAACCTATCCCTTGATTAAAAATCATGTTTTTATGTAATATATGTATCTAATTTCATGTTTAGGGTAAGATCTAATGTGTTAGAACTTAATTTATGATGTACATGCCCAAAAATCATGTCAAGAATAGCAGAATGAATCTGAAACTAGTATATTAACATTATCATGATCATTAGGATTTATTTTAATGAGTTAATTATAGTTTAATATGATTTATATGATATAGATTGTCAAAATAAACAAGAATTAGGTTGATTTGCATGTTACATCCTAGATCTATGTGTTCATGTGATTCATCTTGTTTAAACAAACTCCTGGTTAAGTATACATAATAATGGAATCAAGTTTTATTCATATAATCTAATAAAAGCCCGAGTTTTTGAAGAAAACACAAGAGAAGAACAAACTGTGCATTTTCGGCCTGTTCTATCGACTGATGTTGCCATCAGTCGACTAATAGACTTGTGTTTTCCCTGTTATTTTATATATATATATATATATATATATATATATATATATATATATATATATATTAATTTTCATTTGTGTTTGTTTTAAAAGCTGTGTATTAAGACACCACATTTTTGAGAGCTTTGTGAAGCAAAAACCGTCAAGAGGGCAAGATCATCGGCGTGTGACAAGGGAGAACTAGTTTCCTTGCACTTTAGGATCTTTTCAGCAGCGTATCAAGGTGAGTTCCATCTCCTCCAATCCTATCCCAGATTTTAAATGGTTTTTAATGAATTTTAACTAGTTTTATTAAGCCTCAAAACCTAGTTTCAGTATAAAGATTGTTCCTTTAAAGTATATGATAGAAGATTCGATCTTTTTGTTTTAAAAAGCTAAACATGAATTCTCTGATGTGTCTTTAAGATCTGAAATAAAGCTAACATGAGTTTTTGCTAAGATATAAACTGTTTTCATGATGTTTTTGATGAACATGAACATATTAGGGTTTGTATAATTCATCTAAATATGATAATTATGTTTCATGTGATTAAGTGAACCCTAAAAACATTAAACAAGATTCTATATTGTGTTTTAGTTGCATTATGTCGATCTATATGAGATAGAAGCAAACCCATATAACCCGAAACAACATTGGCAAAACGTGAAGCATTGTTGCATGTGCATGTTTTTGCACGTTTCACCAATCGACCGTAAGGTTAATTCGATCGACTGATTTGTGATGCACTATTTTGTTGATTGTTTTGACACATGATATGATTATGAACTTGAAGCTTGGGTCTGCACATCGAGACACGTGCTTGGACACTAGAATACATGCATTGAGTTGTGCTCGCATGAGCCGTTAAGGTGTGTAGCTTATATTTTGTGTTGATCATGTTAAAGTTTGGCAAATGCATTACATTGCATGAATTTGTGGATGCCTTAATGGGGTAGTTGGTGTTCCCGCAATGAGACCACGGATGGACTACACTCAGAGTGCGTCAGTTTATATTCCGCAATGAGACCACAACTGAACAACACTCTATGATGCATCATTCCGGAATAGGGTAATATGTCTATTTCCGCAAGGCGATTAAGTAATGTGGTGTGACACAGGATATTGTACTGGCCTTACAAAAGTAACGTTATTCCAGGTTTAGAATTATATAGTTTGCATTCTTTGCTCCTATGATAGTTACCTGAGAGAAGGGTATAATACTAAGATTGGCATACATGGCATGTTCTATGCGAGATGATGTTATTAGATGATATTTCTTGTGACTGTGCCATCTACCCGAGGGTAGTACGAGATCTGACATGACTTATCTTGGTTGAGGTTTGGAATTGTAGTATTTTCTTTGCTTAATTTTTTTATTCGTAGGATTTGGAGTTGGTATCTAGTGATTCACAATTTAAGATACGAGGTATATATATGAGGGTTTTTTGTTTGGATTATTTCGCCCGACGTACCTATTCTCCTGTTGTGGATATTTAAATATCAAATTTCACTTAGTTTAGGATAGGTGATTTTATATTTATATGTACTGACTTGTATTTTTCTTATATACTCCTACCCCTCCCCCTAGGGGAGATGGAGATGATCTCGCTAGCACATGGACGCTCATTGTTTCCCCTCTTTTCAGGAAGTGAGTCAGTCGCACAGAGAGTCACAGGTTGATGGGGATGCATAGCATCCATCTTATATTATTAGTTTATTTTATGCTCTACAGTAGTTAGTGTTTATTTTTAAGACATTTAGAGTTGTATTATATTTTGAGAAGGCAGAGTGCCTTAGTAGTATTTCATTTGACTATGTGTATTAAGACATTTTACATTTGTTCTAGTATTAGTTGTTTTTTATTTTATTTCAGTTGGGAACATGATTATTGACTATTCTCAGATATCTCTTCTTTATTTATCATATTCAGTACATTATTACCTTCATTTTCCTATTTTGTACCTACATCTGTTGTTTAATACCACTAGAGAGATATTACAGTGATGGTGAAATATATTATTGCATAGTATGGGTGCATGGCATGTCTGGCATCCTTGGATTCACATAAGACTGCAGCCTTGTGTGAACCCAGGGGCATTACAGTTGGTAGCAGAGCTCTAGTTCTAGCATCCTTAGAATTATTCACGTGTCAAGTTGTGGAGTTAGGATAGAGTTTCCTAAGAATCATGTATAGAGTCCGCTAGGAATTCCTAGAATGAGTGAGGATGGTATATATATGATGCAAAAACTACGATTTTTTATGATAACTATCTTGCTTTGAATTTAAGTAAGTTGTGAATGATACGTGATATTATTTTCCTATTGATATATGTTTTGTTATTTATGCTTGAGATCTCATTTTCTTACTGTGACTAACAAGCTCTACTCCTAAAATATAGATGTCGGGAAGAGTACGTGGGCATAGAGGTACCCGTGCATAGGGAGCTGGGCAAGCTGATGTAGAGCCCGAGCCACAGTAGGCTCCATAGTACTTGATTGATTTCATAGTACCATTAGCAACTCGGTTAACAATGATTGAGGAGCAGACAATGAATCAGGCTCAACAGGAGATATCTATTGAAGAAAAAAGACCAGAAGTGACCCTGATAGCTACACCACCACCACTAGTTGTTGATAGGGTTGTTGAACATGAGGCTTGGCTTAGTTTGGTGGAGAGTTACCAGAAGATGAGAGCACCGGAGTTCCATGGCACGTCAGATTCTCTTGCGGCGCACAAGTGGAAGGAAGATGTGAGGAACATCTTAGATATGTTTAATGTGGACATCGTACAGAAGAAGAGGATAGCAACAATCAGCCTCAAGGGCGACGCATGGGACTGGTATCGACTTCAATTCACTCCTAGCAAGTATGAAATACAACAAGATATGTAAGCTAGGATAAACAATATGAACAACAAAATATATCCTAACAAAGAGATATAGGCAATGTATGTGCAAGGATATAAAACTTACACAAGGTGATATATCCTACCAAAGAGATATACAATATGATATATGCAAGGATATGTAAACTAACACGAGGGGTAAACCATATGAACTAGATAGTGGATCATATAAATAATGATCTATGAACAATGAAGACATAAGATAAATGCAAAAACAAATACGCCAAAGACAAACTCAAACAAGCATTATGATCACGGAGTTCGGACTTTCCGTCCTACGTCTCCGCTCCCCACTCTCGGGGAGAAATCCACTATCACAACCGGGTTTTCTACGCTCACACGAATAATGTTTACACCTCACAGTGTAGGTTTTCAACGCTCACCGAACAACGTTCACTCCTCACACTCGGTTTTCTAGTTCACCGAAAACTTCACCACACACTCGGTTTCTAGCTCACCGAAAACCTTACAACACTCACAATGTAACAAATATAAATTTGTTTTCTACAATTGATGAGAACACAATGAAGCACAACTCTATGTTACAATCTCTCACAACCCTAATATACTATGTATGCAAATACAATAAGCTCAAGTGGGTATGTGTAACAATGATATAAAATCAAATCTAACTCAAATAGCAAACTAGCAATAATAAGAATATGAAAATCAATAATAAAATTGCTAGAGAAAAGAGTTAGAAAACTTCTCAATAGATCAAGAGGTAGAAGGAGAATAGTTGGATTCCCAAACACCAATAGATGATCTCCTCAAGCTCTTGTGAAATTGATTTCACAAACTTAAACTTCCAAATGCTTAAAAGCTTCTTAAACACATTTAAACCAAACTAAAAACCCTTCAACAAACTTGTAAAACTCTTTTTAAAACTCTCTTAAACATCCATAAGAAACAATGAAAGTTGAGGGCTTTTTATAGCCTTTTAAATTAAATCAGCCACAAACCCCCAAAAACCGAAAATATCAAAAACTAGCCGTTACTAGCCGTTATAGGCTGAAAAGACCAAAATACCCCAAATTCCAGCATTCTGGAAATATGTGTATCTGACTATTTAAAATCAATTAAAAATAGTAAATAAGCTCCAAAAATTATGAAATGTTGTAGGAAGGTTCTAGACATATGGAATGACATGTTAGAGAAAACATTTCTGAAAAGTAATTTCCCAGTTGAGAGAAATAAATGTTTTAACACAGATATATAGTTTCTAAAAATCTGCTGACATACACGATTTTGTAAAATCATGGGTATAGTAAATCAACTCCAAAAATAGTAAAAGTTTGAGGGAAGTTTTTAAACATGTAGATAAACATGTCAAAGAAATAATTTCTTGAATATCACTTCCTATTTATGAAAACTCTTCTGTTTTGTGAAACATGCACAAACATGTACGAACGAAAAAACATGATTTTGTAAATTCAATTAAACGTAACAAATCAATTTCAAACTTGATGAAACTTTGGGAAACGTTTGTAAATGTGATTTTGAACATGTTACAAAAAAGAATTTTCCAATTTTCATTTTTCAATTATGGAATCTCATTATTTTAAAAAATCACATAAGTATGGACTTGTAAAAGCTTGATCTTGACAAAATGAGTTTAAATAAAGTTTTGAAAACTTTCCAATAGATTTATAAACTTAATATAAGATATAAAATAATATCGTTAAGTCTATAATCCAAAACGACGATAAACCAAACCAAACGTGTGTGTGTGATATTGAGCTTGAAGTATTAACACACATAATATAAGCCCTAAACTAATTTACCCAAGCTTGATTGGTCTTCAATATGCTTGACTTGGTAATCTCGCGGATGAAGCTTGAACTTGATCTTTAACTTTGAATTGTAAGGCATCACTCCACTATTCCGCCAACCTCCATTGGATATGATCGTTAAAGCTCTATTCCATCCATCCTCCAACTCGTTGTTTGCCTAGAAAAAATACGAAAACACAAACACTAGACCAACAACATTAGAAGTAAATTGTTTGTTAAACATCATCAAAACAAGAAGGCCAACAGTATCCAAACAACTTCATTCAGTGCGGGAGGTGGCTGATGCCGCCATATCACAGGAGACTGAGACAGCTATGTTTTAGAAGGGAAAGGAAGGGAACGCTAGAGCAGGATAGCCCGGGAACAAAGAAAAAGGGAAGAGGCCATTTTTATTTTTGAAATTGGTTTAATATTTTTAACGTATTTTCAAAATCAGCCCAAAACCTGTCAATTGACATGTATCAGTTTGCGCTCGACCGCCACGATTGACCGTCAGTAGTTAATTATTGGATCGCGGTCGACCGTGATGGTTGACCGTGGCTCATCCAGAGACTTTCATGGTCGACCGCCGCGGTCGACCGTCAGCTTTTAAATTTCACTCTCAGCCTTTTTGTGCTTCGCGGTCGACCGCCACTTTCTCACGGTCGACCGCCGAACTCATAATTGCTTTCCAACGGCTATTTTCTAATTTGATTTTCTGGGCTGTTTTGGTCATTTCAAGTTTGTTTTGGCTGATATTTTGAGTGGGTATAAATACCCCCATTGCCTTTCTCTTTCAGTAACCAAGAAGTTTGTTTTACAATAAGTTTTAACAAAAGATTAAGAGTTGTTTAAAGAGCTGTTTAAGCTGATTTCATCAGTCTGTTTCAAAAGAAGTTTCCTACAACAAGAAGAGGCTTTCAATTCCATCATCCACTGTTCTTCTTGTCTATTGATAAGTTTTCCTAACTCATTTTACATATAACTTACTATTTCATTTTCATATCTTAGCTATATTTATTGAGTTGCATTTTTTTTCTATTCACTGATATCACACACACTGTATTGAGCTTATAATATTTCCATACTATATATTATTAGGTATCGGTGTGTGATTTAGTGAGAGTGAGCTTTATTGCGTTCTTATTTGTTAATCGAGAACAAATCATTGTATTTACCTTTATTGTGAGTATCACTTGTAATACACTTGTACACCGAGAGAAGTGTGAGGCGTGAGACGGGGTCGAATCCAATAGGAGTGGCATCGGTTGACAAACCTAAGGAGAGGTTGCATCTGAGCACTTGAGAAGGAGGACACGGGCTAGGTTCCTACACTTAGTGTGTAAAGTGTGATTGCATAGTGTTTGTTATGTAAGAGTTTTCGGTAAACTTGTAAACCGAGTGTGTAGAAGTTCCGGTTTCCAAACCGGATTGTGATAGTGGAGATATCCTCGAGGTGAGGAGCAGGGACGTAAGTCGTGGTGACCGAACCTTGTAAACATATCGTGTGTTTGTGTTTTGCTTAGCATATATTTTATTTGTGCTTATTCATATCATTCTTGTTCATATCTATCTTATATTATTCTTGTAAGAACAAATTAATCAATATATTTTTAATTGGTATTTAATCGGAATTAGATTAGAATAAGACCCTAATCATCCCCCCTCTAGGGTCTATCACAGGGCACGACTAGCCCAAAAAATCCAAATCTGAATTTTCGCCACTAGCTTTGGTAACATTCACATCTGAAGCTTGAATAGCTTTCTCTTTATTCTTCCCAGCACGATCTGTCAACTTCGGACATTCGGCTTTTCAATGTACATCCTCTTTACAAAAGGCACGCTGATTTCTACTAACTGCAGGGTGTGCTCCTCTAGACTACGACCTCCTACTTCGGTTTGAACTCTTTCCTCTTGCGATCAATGCCCCCATTACTGGCTTAAAATTAAAGTCTCCTTATGCTTCTTTCGAAGCTGATAATTCACAAGTGTAGCGGTGATCTCACTATACGAAAGAGATGCTTTCCCATTAATAAGAGTAAGGAGGAAGGTCTCATATTCCTTGTGGGACAATGAACTCAACAATAACAACGCCTTGTCCTCATCTTCAATTATCACATCTACTTTCGTCAAATCCGCAAGAAGATTCATGTAGTGGTTCATGTGATCACCAATGGAGGCCTCCTTCTTCAATTGGAAGCGGTAAAGCCTCCTCTTCAAATGCAAGCGATTTTCTACACTCTTGGTCAAATACTTCTTCAATTGGAAGCGGTAAAGCCTCCTCTTCAAATGCAAGCGATTTTCTACACTCTTGGTCAAATACTTGTGCTCTATGATCTCCCAAATCTTCTTTGCCAAAGTTTCATTGATCACATCATATTTCAAATATTGAGTCAGCTCTATGATCTCCCAAATCTTCTTTGCCAAAGTTTCATTGATCACATCATATTTCAAATATTGAGTCAAATAAGATCTAATCACACCACATGTTGTTCTATTCATCTTCTTCCAAACCTTTTCCTTAATATCGTCCGGTTTCTCGTCCAACTCCCATGTATCCTCTAAATTTTACACGTTGAGCGAATCCATGACTTTGCATCTCCAAAGACCAAAATTGTTTGTGCTATTAAACATCTCCATGTCTATCTTCATAGAATGGATATTCAAACTTTGGACAGTCTTCACGTCGGAAGTACTCTCCACAACTCCTTCTTTCTCAGCCATCTTTCTCAAAGCACCACCAAACCAATACGGAACAAACAAAGAATAGATTCAAACTAAAATGAGAGATTTTTACCTCCAACTGAAACCCTAACAAGAGCCTCCGAA